TTTAACCGGTTTTTTTCCTCCTTTGGTTCTATGAGATAGAATCACTTTCGAGCTTCTCTTTGGGCTAAGGTTCATGTGTGTGTTTTAGGGATGCTCTTCATCTACTTTGCAAAAAGACCGGGCGTGGTTATCTACTAATTTTTTTGTTTTTAGTTTCTCTTTCCTTGTCCTTTCCTGTTCTTTAATTATGAGGACCTCTTATCCTCAATTGCTGTACTTTTCTTTTTTCTCTCCTTGATAGTTTTTCTTCTTTCACAAAGAAAATAGTGAGAATAATCTTTATCATCTTCCTTTATAGCCTCTTTCAGCTTTTTCAAGAAATATATATATATATATATGTAAAATTGTGCCTGTGTGTGCACACTTATTTCCTTTTTCTTCTCAAAAAATTAGATACATATACGTATAGTACATCTGGTTGAGAGTGAATCCATTTATACTGCTGCTGGAATGATGACTTACAGTGCTGATAATGTTATAAACAGGACAATTGAATTTGATTTTCTTATTGATTTGAGAAAGGCGAAAATCGGTTTGATCATTTACTGATATATTATGTGTCTGTCTATACACACACACTTATACCACTAGCTTTCTAAATTGAACTTTTTCAGGATTAAGATATAGTAACCTGGAATAAGATACTTAAAAATATTTGATAAATTTAATGGTGTATATTATCTGTATTTATGGACAGCTATATCCAACTATTCGTTAAAAATAATATCCAACTATACACAAAAATTATGGTGGTATAAGACTTGTTTCCCCCCTGTGTCTTCCTTCCCAACTTTTAGTAGGAAAGGCTGCTTGGCAGCTTACTAGTATCCTTTTTCCTGGATGATATTGCACTAATATACTTCACAATGTGTAGGCGACATTTTAGTTGAGCCAGAATTAGTGAATTTGAACATGTGACTGGCAAATGGTTTTCTAACAGTTGCATTTTTGTCATCCTTGCAAAAGGCATTTATGCTCCCAAGTCTCATTTATGTGACGAAATTTTTATATTTTGGATTAGTATCTTACTACTCTGCATATATTTTAAAAAAAATCTTACTGTTCTGCATGATGAGATGGTCTTATTGAAATCTCTCTCCTCTTTCTCGTAGGCCCTCAATCTCTTAGCTGTATTTACATGTATCTAATAATCTTTTGCAATTCAAGTAACTGAATGAAACTTTTGTTTTGATTAGTATAAAGGTCTGTAAGATTTAAATGATTTCAGGTTCCATTTTCTATTGCGAAGTTCATAGCTGATGGAGTCGGTGTCTCTGTTCCAACTAAGCAATTGTTCAGAAGTCTTATACTCACACTTTTAATCCCTCTAGTTGTGGGAAAGGTAATACTCTTTTATCTTCTTATATTTATTTTATTTCTTTACATGGTTAAGCATTTGTTGTCTCAAAAGGGCCCAAGAATAAGTTTGCAAGAGCTTTTGTAGAAAAGGAAATAGTTATACAGGATAACTAGAAAAAGAAGTGGAAATTAGAGGAAAAGAAAAATGAGTTATCAAAAGAATGCCAAAAAAAAGGACAGAAAATGGATAAGAAGCAAATCATAGTAAAGTCTATCTCTCTAAAAGGAAAGGAGTTGTCCAAATACTGCCAAGAAAGAGGTGGGCAGAAAATGGAGAAGAAGCAAACTGTAGTGAAGTCCGTCTTCTAAAGAGAGAGTTTGAGAGTAGTTATATTGGGTGATGCTGATCTTATCGTCAAAGCTCTTGGTGATTGAGAGGAGACCTTTAATGTGGGTTCAGAAGGAAGGGAGGCTAACATCTTTTTCATTTTCCAAGAATGATAGAGGTCCATGATCTGGTGAACAACTGTCGTCTAGGGCCACAACTGTGGATTATTAGTAATGCAGTGGATTTTGTTGGGAAGTGTATTTGTATAATAAGTATGGTAAAAAGTATATTAGTAATGTACTCCTCTCATATAATTAATAGTCTTTCTTTATATTGTTTATAAAATCTGTATATATAGGGCCTTATTATTCAATAAAATTCATATTTCATTCACATGGTATCAGAGGTTTAAGTTAAAAACTCATAAACTCTTTTACACATCATATTCAGTTTTCATTGTCGAAATAAGAAAAGCCCTAAAGAGATGATACCGGCCTTCATAACTAGCCACCTTAGCCTAGTTGCCGGCCACTGCAGCTGGCGGCCACCAGCAGCCAAAACCAGCTTTCATTCCTGGCAGCAACAGATGTGGCTGTACTATGCTGTCAAAAGATGCGACTGTCTTGGTTGTGGTGGGAGATACAGCGGCTCCCAGATAGATGCAAATAGGCGTGGCAGAAGAGAGTGGTGGCCGAGTTGCACATCTAGGCGAACTGTGCGACTAAGAGTGACCGTGATTTGGCTGTCCATGTATGGGCAAACTGCATGACTGAGGACGATCATGGCTAGGGTGTGATTGAGGAGCTGGATCTGATGATGAAGGCTGGTCTTGGTGGAGATGGCTGGCTACGATGTTGGCTTGTGGTGGAGATGGCTGGTTTGTGTTGCTGAGGGGTAGGGTTGTGATGGCCAGTAATGAAGGCTGGTCCCTTTTACGGTTTCTTATTTCGGCAATAAAGATCGAATATGGTTTGTAAAAGAGTATAAGATTTATTAACTTAGAGTTCTGATACCACGTTAAGAGTAATTTTTTATGTATATTTTATTAAACATAACAATCTTATATATACAAATTATCTAAAATGAAAAAAAAAATAGACAATTGATTGCAATCGATTACATAGGATGTATTTTATCCTTATATCCCTCAACTTAAATTGTCTTTTCTTTAATATGAATAACATAGCATGTGGCACTCATACATTTTTATAATACATCTTGTGTGCCTGAATGTGCATGCGCGTGTGTACATGGCTTGTTACTTTTTTTCCTTATCAACTTCTAGTGGGGACAACATATCTTTCAATAGTAACAATATATCATGCTAGTTCTTGCATGTAAACCTAATCCTTTGGATGATTGTTTACCATTTTTTATCCGATATCTTTGTTGCCTTTTTGTTGTTTTAATGGTGATCAATGCTTCATAATCTACAGGTCTTACGAGAATCCTCCAAAGGTGTGTCCGTTATTCTCTTATCCCTTGAATAGTGAGTAAAAATAACGGAATAACGCCTTGTTTCCTTCTCATAGAGCTAATAATGGAAGTTTTCCTACTGATTCATTGGGTGTTTACTTGCAAATCTATGTTTGAGTTTCTTACTGCGTTGCCCTATTATTCAAGAATGGTTTTACTGTATTCCTTCTGGAAGGTGAAAAGGTCATTATATGGGGATAGTTTTCCTGGACCACTATTTAAAAAAAAAAAAAGGTTTTTCTGGACCACAGTCTCAAACAGGAATATCATCAATGACATGCTCTAGGCTTCGAGACCTCATAAACCTTTATTCCCTGCATTTATTTGATGTGCTTTTGGAGCTTAGAGGGTAATAATCATCTTTTCGTTCTCTGTGATGCGGTGTGGAGTGTTTGCTCTAAATTATTTTTCGCATTTGGAATTTTTTTAGTGTGTCCCTTAAATATTTTCATATTTTTTTCTTTACGTGGTTGTAAAATAATTAAGTTTGATGAGTAGTTTTTCAAAAAGTTTAAGCTAACAGGAAATAATACAATATATCGTTCATACTCTAAAATACTACATCATGCTAAAGCTTGTTGGAAAGCAGATCATATATTGATCTACTATACCTTGTATGTAATTTAACCAAAAGAAATGGAGTTGTAATTAGGATTTGATCTTAAGACCTATAACTTTGCTACTATGTGAGATAATTAGGTAGGTGACAAATTATCTAAAAGCTTTAAAGTTAAAAAAAAATGTCTAATTTATTATTTATACTCTAACAGTAACTTTGAGAGTGCAAGGAGTGTAAGTTTTCTTGGGTTATGGGTCTTATGGTTAGAACAAAATGTTAGGATATTAGGAATTTCAGCTGCTGCACATGCTTAGGGATAAAGTGGTGTTCTTTGCTTCTCTCTCGATGAAGATTAATGGTTTGTTTGAGAGCACCTTTACTTATATGGCAAGGTGATTTAGTTGCTATCTTGTTCGGTCTTTCTTTTGTTTCCTTGTACTTTCCTATTTTGGTTGGGTGGTATTTTATTTATTCAATGTTTATTGTGTAATAGATTTCTCTATTTGTAATAATAGCTCTTCTTTTATCAAAAAATAATAGTAGTAGTAGTTAGAGGTCTGTTGCATTTACTTGGTACCGTCAGATGACTTCATGAATTAATTATACATTCACTTTACAATACAGGCTTGGCGGACTTTGTTGATAAAAACTCTAAGCTTTTCTCAAAGATCAGTGCGTTGTTCCTCAGTTTAGTAAGATCAGAATCTTGGCTTTTTCCCTTGAAACTTTTACCTCTTAGAAGTTTTTATTTGGGAATATTCTTATCCCAGCTTAAGCAATGATGATCTATGTTCTTTCTTTTATTGGAGAACTACCATGAAAATACATCAGTATGTCATCATCCAAATTCAGATTTTTGGTTTAGAGTTTGAAGACATTGATTGTATCCTAAGTCCATTTGATTCTGGGTTTTATCATGTTCTACAGTAGCAAATATGTCTGGTTTAAAGGCTTCTGCCAAAAAAAAAAAACAGACTGGCTGGAACAACTTCATGCCTTGTGCATATGTATCATTCTTGCCGAAGATGTTTAAATCTTATTTAAGTGAATGGTCTTTCAATCTGTCAGTGTATTGTCTTTCAGCTTGCTATTTAATAATGGTTTATTCCATTTTCTATCATTTTCAAACAAATATTCTAATTTCTTGCCTCTATCAGATTCAGGCATAATTTTTTGGTTTTGCTACATTGGTATTAGTTTCACAGGAAAACGGATTTCAACTGCCCAAGCAGACGAACTCATTCCTTGATTGTGATTAACAACTTATCATAGGATGATATTTATTATGATCAAGATCTCATAAAACATCATGGTGGATTTGGGTTTCACAATGAGATCTGCAGCATATCTTTACTTCAGCTAGATTTGTGTGTCATCACCCCGGGGGAAGGAATTATTGGTACTGTTTGAACCATGCATGTCATAGATGCTTTTCATTGTCATCATTGCTATCATAATAACTTTCAAGTTACACTTACTTGGTCCTATAATCGTCTTATTGTTCATTTAAAAAATAATAATTGTCTTGTTTTCATTATTATCATTTTCGGACGAAATTTGTTAAAAATGTTACTGTCATCTAATATTATTTGCGATGAAAGAGGAAAGTGTACTAAACAAGCCCCAGATATTTGATATTCTTGACTCTGTTTTCCACATAATTCAAACTAAATTTGCTATACACCCTTTTTGTTTATTCCATGTACATGTGCAAGCTCTTGCAAGATAGGTTCAATGTTTCTCCTAAACTGCTCCAATTTTTAACCAAGTTCCTGAAGAAGCAAATGGTTTTTTTTTTCTATGCTTATATGCTTCTTAGATTTTGGAACTTAAGAGATATTAATGTTCAAATGATATACATAATAACTTTCAAGTTACACTTACTTGGTCCTATAATCATCTTATTTTTCATTTAAAAAATAATAATTGTCTTGTTTTCATTATTATCATTTTTGGACGACAAAATTTGTTAAAAATGTTACTGTCATCTAATATTATTTGCGATGAAAGAGGAAAGTGTACTAAACAAGCCCCAGATATTTGATATTCTTGACTCTGTTTTCCACATAATTCAAACTAAATTTGCTATACACCCTTTTTGTTTATTCCATGTAAATGTGCAAGCTCTTGCAAGATAGGTTCAATGTTTCTCCTAAACTGCTCCAATTTTTAACCAAGTTCCTGAAGAAGCAAATGGTTTTTTTTTTCTATGCTTATATGCTTCTTAGATTTTGGAACTTAAGAGATATTAATGTTCAAATGATATACATAATAACTTTCAAGTTGCACTTACTTGGTCCTATAATCGTCTTATTTTTCATTTAAAAAATAATAATTGTCTTGTTTTCATTATTATCATTTTTGGACGACAAAATTTGTTAAAAATGTTACTGTCATCTAATATTATTTGCGATGAAAGAGGAAAGTGTACTAAACAAGCCCCAGATATTTGATATTCTTGACTCTGTTTTCCACATAATTCAAACTAAATTTGCTATACACCCTTTTTGTTTATTCCATGTACATGTGCAAGCTCTTGCAAGATAGGTTCAATGTTTCTCCTAAACTGCTCCAATTTTTAACCAAGTTCCTGAAGAAGCAAATGGTTTTTCTTTTCTATGCTTATATGCTTCTTAGATTTTGGAACTTAAGATATATTAATATTCAAATGATATACTGGCTTTTCAGGTACCGTGGATACAAGTGAGCAGGTCAAGGTCACTGCTGCTGATGGTTGAGCCTAAGATTTTTCTTGTGGCCATTGGGATGGGAATGTATGTTTTCAACCTGGTTCTTTTGAATTGATTAGTTTGATAGTGTTTTCTACTTTGAGACTTCTTTCGAAAAAAAAGTGTTTTCTGCTGTAAGACCACTTTACTTGTTGTATTAAGCTGTGCAAAATTTGAGATAATCGGCCTTCATTTGGTGCAGCACTGAATAAAGAAATCTGGTAATTTTATCAATATATTCTCAATACAGGAGTACGGATCCTCTATTTCCATGGGTGGGATTTACTGTGTATGTGGAACTAAGATAAACTCATGCCTAATCATACTTGCGAATCACGCTGGTTGCAAAATGGACCAAAAATCTTTAGACCATTTATGTAGAATTTTGACAAAATTGAAATAGCCTCCAATGCAGTACCCCTAACTGACAGGATTCTACAATTATGTTTCAGAATGCTGCATCTGTTCCTATTAGCTTTCAATTCTCTTGCCATTAGAGCCCTTTCAGCTCTTTCTGGAGGTAGTAAATCTGTTTTTGCCAAGGAAGAAAATTTCAGTGCGTTGCTGCTTGTTGCAAGTCAGGTGATGATCATATTACATACTTAACCTTGACTTAATGCAATAGAAGAGAAATTTTCTTTTATTAAGTGCTTCACCATTTTCTATATATTGTCCTGAATATTGTTGTTATTTCGCTGTTGTTCCTGGGTAGAAAACTCTACCTGTTATGGTGGCAGTTGTGGAGCAACTTGGTGGAGCATTAGGTGAATCTGGTTTATTGGTTCTTCCTTGTGTTGCTGCTCATATACTTCAGGTTATTTCTGGACTATCTCCATTTGTTTTCTCATGCTTGAACTCCATTAATATAGTTTTGACAAACAAATTATGCAGATTGTCATGGACTCTTTTCTTGTCAACATTTTTCTTCGGAAGGATCGCTCATCTACAAAGGCCAAATTGGCCTGAAGAGTCCGAATGCTGCTGGGCTTCTTAGATACAGAGGGACAAAACTGCGTTATGGTGCAGGTAAATTAGTGAAAATTTGATTTTGCCTTCTTCAATAGGGTTTTTCAGCCTGTTTTTAGCTACATTTTCCCTTCATGTTGGGCTTATCATTGCATTGTTGTTGAATAATTCAGGTCAAGTTATTCATGAACAAAGTTTATTCATTCAGTGGTAAGTCAGTTGCTAAGTGGAATTACTTGTTCTTTTTAAAAAATGAAAGAAATGCTTAGAGCTGTTCAGAAACCCATCATCTGCCCGCAACATCAGTTTTCTTAATATACAGTTTACAAGGGAATTCTTAATATTTACATATGAACTAAAATTATATTTATTATTATTATTAATGCTGCATTTTTCAATAACTTTATTTTCCATCTAATTTCATTAAATGAAAAATTATGTGGGTTTGTTCTTTCTAAAAACTATTGACCAACAAGTTGAAAATGACCTGTTTATTTATTGAACAATTTTTTTTACTTGTTCCAGAAAATTGAAACATGTATGTATCTCTATGTGGACTAAATCCAATACTTGTGATATCAATTCTTTCTCTTTTCCTCTTTTCTTGTTGATCTTGGTTTTGACTTTTGTGCACAAAAGAATAAGACTCTTTTTCTTTTCTTAGTCTCTTAAAAAAAAAAAAGAAAAAATTCAGAGTTAATTCAATATAATCGTAGTCTACAATGACAAAAACGAAACAAAACTCTTCCTAATTTAGGAATTTACTCGTAGTAGAATTCTCGAAAGCTGATTAAAACTTTGAATCTAATTTGATTAGAAGAAATTTAATCAACCCAAAGAAAAAAACAAAAAAAATCTCACATCATAGTTCAATTCTTGGTGATTCACTCAAAAAAAATATATAATAAAATCCCAAGTTTTGATGGCACCCGAATGCTTAGAGATGATGTATATAGGTAGGGTTAGTTCACCCAATTATAATTATAACAAATATGTGCATGCAAATTCACAAAGGTGTCCGCAAAGAACACAATACATTCTTAACTACCATTCTAATACATCTACTCCTCATCATTTTCATGAAGCCATCTCTACCTGGTGGCCCAAAACGTGAAATTGATAGTTTGCCCCACTTAATTTGTCGTTTGAAATTATTACGTTACCAAGAAATATTGTCAATTTAGAAAGAAATCAAGAAAAATAATTTCTTTTCCCCATAAATATACAGCCACATAAATTTTTCTTGCACTCTTAAGTAATTTCTTAGTATATGGTGAGTATTTCTGTAAAGATATAGATTGTATTTTCATATATTTTTATAAAAATATGGATTTGAATGTGTTATATTTCTTAAAGAATTATGTTATTAATTATATATAAATCATGAAATGTAGAAACTTAAAAAGTGAAGTGCATCCCATTTCTCTTTTTTCTTTGAATTTACAAAACCATAGTTTTGTTGTGAGAAAATAATCATAAACTATTAGTGGGTATATATATATATATATATATATATAAGCTGGTGACTTCACCCAAACGTTTTCTGTTTCCAGTGAACTTATAAAACTGACAAAAAAAAAAAAAAAAGAGCTAATAAAATTGACTTGCACCGGTTTGAAAGCTCTCGAAGTTTGTTTGCTTTGGCCACAAATTCAAGTGGGTGTTCTTTTTAATCAAGAAATTCTAATGGGTTTTACTTGTCGTCAAATTTTTCACTTTTCTAAAATATATACGTGTGTTATAGTTATTAGTGAACTGTACAGAGGTCAATGTAGACAGAATCAAATAAGAACATGTCATGCTGTATAGTTCATAATTCACACCTTTACCATGCAAAGAAATTATCTTCTTTTAAAAAAAAAAAAAGAAATTGAACTAAAAATTTATCCCTAAAAAATAATAATAAATAGATGTCCTTATATATATATATATGTGTGTGTGCGGTTGTAGGCGTAAATATTGATGTAAGGGGTGTAATAAAGATTTATCTTTTTCTGCGTTCTCAATGACAGGGATGGTGGGGAAGGTTGCAGTAATCTTGTTGATTGGAGTTTTGGCATGGTGTTATCAGTCCATCCGTCCTCTGCCACAAAACCTCTGCGGCTCTCCCGGCGGTCCGCCGGTCACGGCGCCCAGAATCAAGCTGAGGGACGGCAGACATTTAGCTTACAAAGAACATGGAGTACCTATAGAATCTGCCAAACACAGAATCATATATATACATGCCTTCTCCTCTTCTAGACATGATGCAGTCGTTATAACACAACTATCTCCTGTACATATACATATATATATATATATATGCTCTTTAAGTTCAATTGGGTTTTCCCTTTTCTTCATTTTTTTTCATGTAATATATACATGTTTTCTGGATATTATATGCTATTTTACTTCAATTGTGGCTTCCCTTTTCTTCATTTTTTTTCATATAACATATACACGTTTTCTCTATATTATACGCTCTTCTTCGTCAATTGGGTCTTCCTTTTTCTTCATTTTTTCATATAATATATTCATGTTTTCTGTATGTTATATGCTATTTTAGATCAATTGGGTCTTCCCTTTTCTTCATTTTTTTTCATATAACATATTCATGTTTTCTGTATATTATATGCTATTTTAGTTCAATTGGGTCTTCCCTTTTCTTTCTTTTTTTCATATAATATGTTCATGTTTTCTGTATATTATACACATATTTACATGTATGTGCTTGTTATGTTGCAGGAGGTCATTGAGGAACTAGGACTGTACGTTTTGGCAATTGACAAACCAGGGTATGGAGAAAGTGATCCTGACCCAAATAGAACCACGAAAAGCTTAGCTTTAGATGTGGAAGAAGTTGCAGATAAGTTGGGTCTTGGACCCAGATTCTATGTGGCTGGACACTCTATGGGAGGCCAAGCTATTTGGGGAATTCTTAAATATATCCCTCACAGGTATATATAATTATATATCTATATGTTGGGATCTTTAATTTATTAGTTGTTCAAAAGTTAATTAAAAAGTAGTAATATTCAGGCTAGCAGGAGCCACATTGCTTTGCCCTGTTGTGAATTACTGGTGGCCTGGATTTCCTGCAAATTTATCGAAAGCAGCTTACTACCAGCAGCTGCCACAGGATCAATGGGCGCTGAGAGTTGCTCACTATGCTCCATGGCTTCTCTACTGGTGGAATACCCAGAAATTATTCCCTGCATCCGCTGTTATTGCTCGTAGGCTGGAGATCTTTTCCCCACAGGATAAGCAAATTCTGCTAAAAATTGCTAGGAGACAAGATCTAATGGTAGATATCTCTTTACTTCTGTTTCATTTTCTCATTTTTATGTCCTTGTATGAAGTTCAAAAAGTTCGATAATGTTGCATAGTTAACCAGACAATCTCTGGATAAATTTTTTTTTAAGTAAAAATTTTTATACATCTTAATCATTAGGTGGTACATGTCCACTAATAATAACATAATTTTTTATAAAAAAAAAAATGACACAATAAACCTCATAACATGTACATACATGAGACAGGATCCAACCGGTATCATAATTTCATAAAGAGAAATAGAAGTTCGAACTATTTAACAAATAGATAGTTAATTTATGGTAGAAATATTCACTAGATGGAAATGCTATTGACATATTATACAATTGATTATGCTATGTGTTGCAGTCAATGGCAATGCAGCAAGGGATACACGAATCTTTAAATCGGGAGATGATAGTTGGATTCGGGAGTTGGGAATTTGATCCCATGGATCTGCAGAACCCATTTCCAAACAATGAAGGGTCAGTTCATCTATGGCAAGGAGATGAAGATGGTATTGTGCCAACAATTCTGCAACAATACATTGCTAAAAAACTTCCATGGATTAAATACCATGAATTACCCGGTGCAGGACACATGTTTCCTTATGCAGATGGAATGGCTGAAGCTATTATAAAAACCCTTTTACTTGGAGAGCAGTAGTTTCTTCTTCATGCTTCAACTACTCTGTATTTCCCTTTTCTGGGTCATTTTCACCCATCTTTTACGTCTTGTTTGTTGAGGTTGATTTTGGTACATGTTTGTTTCTATGGAAAAATGAAAAGAAAAAAAAAACCACAACTGGGGAGTAGTGTTTTCTTTTTCTCAAATCATCAGCATATTATTCTTAACAACTTATAATTTATTAAAAAATAAGATAAGAAAACACCATCTTGAAGCACTGCGAAATACCAACATCTTTGTTCTCAAATTCAAAGTCCTGAAAATTGTGTTCTCTCCAAAAGAAGAACTGGGAATTTTTAACAAATGGGTTAAAGAAATGTTTTCTAGATTAGAAGTTTCCATTCTTAAAATTTTCCACTTAGAAAATTGGAGTGCTGGTAAAATCAATTTCAAGAGGGAGTGGTTGGGTAGGTTGTGATTAGAAGTTGGGAGTTGAAATGTGAAAGAGATTTTTATGAAGGGGTAAAGTCATTTCAAAAGGCCAAACCAGAAATAGAATAGAGATGAGTTCTTTCTCATGAACTTTCTTCACATTACTAGTAGAAAATAGTTGATAAAAAAGCTCATTGATAGTGACTAATTTTGAATCTATATTAACTACGAGGTTTACTTATAGGAAAATAACAAATAAAGTTTGTTTGGTATATACATTTAGTACAGATTAGTATATTCATAAAATATAAATTATTAAAAGTATAGTCTGTATACCCTTCAAGAGGTGATAGCTTAACTCTCTTAAATTTTGTAACTATACTAGCATTTTGTCCATTTATCCCAAAGCAAAATAGTACAAGATCATGGTGGATCTGTTGAAGCAAAATACAAGCCTTACCATAACAAATGCAGATACTTTTACTTTTGGTGGTTTGGATCTTGGTAGAATAAGTAACAAGCCTCTTTCAAATTTTCATAAATGGAGCTTATAGTCCAATATCTAACGCTAATTTTCATAAGCCTGGCAAGTTACTGAATAGGTTAGTTATTTATTGCTCTGTAGCAGAAGAAGTTCAACCCTCAAGGTGCCAAGTGAAGAGGTAGAAGAAGGGGAAAAGAAAAGCTGAGTAGGTGCTGATGTGAATGTTGACATGGCGCCCGTGTTAGTAAATTTAAAACCCATTTACATGTGGTTTGATACGTCAAATACCTGAACAATGGCGATGAAAATTAAGAGAGAATTTGTTTGCTTTTTTAATTGCTCCAACTGCCACCATTTGAAAGATGAGTCAATTAGGAAAGAAGTTGTTTTAAGACTTCTAGAGTTGGTTGTAGAGGCACGTACGTCAAAATAAGGGGTGTGGCCTTTGACGAAGATGGTTGGAAAGTGGAATGCAAAAGCCAGAGAGAGACACGAAGCTGATAAGCCAGGCTTGAAAGAATAAAGCTGGAACCAGTTTGTGAATTTTGAGAAGAAGAAGAAAAGCTAAAGAGAAAGAGAAAGATGGAATTCATGAAAGCAAGAGGTCTTGCTTTTAGATTTGACGAAAACTATATGTGAAATTGTCTCACTTGACAGACTGAAGTGCATGTCCCATCAAACTATGAAGTTTTACTAAATAATTCAAACCTTCACCCAAACTTTGAAATCGTAATAAAATTATAAATAAAATCGAATCCTTGTAAATGACGTTTATAATCAACTCTGGAGAGTTTCTAACCTTGGAAAATGTCTTGGGTTGTAGCAGACGTGCAGCACTTGGCCTTCAGTGTTAGTCCATTCGTGTGAAAATTTTCTTGTTCTTTTACTTTTAAAAAATCAATTAAGATCTGAAATGGTGGACACATGAAGCTTCCAAAACAAACATACTGCAATCTTTTCATAATATTTTCATTATGAAGTTTACTTTTTGTGTTTGTCCCTGTGGGTAGAGTTTATTCAAGAAAGCTAAACACTCTGCATGTGTTGCGAGCTAGCTGTCTTCAATCTGCCCCTATTCTTGTCGTGGCTACTGTATTGGGGATTGATCCAACTAAAGCGACGATCGATTCCCTGGTACGTCGATTATTAAAATGTATATATATGTATAGGTATATTTAAATTTGATTTCGTACATATTCTTTCTCATCAACTTTATTTTGTGCTCCAACTCGATCACTTCATCTTAGAGCGATTATACTGTGAATTGAATCCGACGATTCCGTTCCTTGAGATTCGGTCTTCTTCATTGAGGTTGAGAGAGTCTGAATTTAGGTTAATAGCATCTGCATTTTGGAGCTTGACAGTGAATCGATGCTTAAGGAGATCACATTAATGGGATTTCTGGCATGGGGAATTCGTGCCATGATCCGTGCTCCACCTCCGAAAATTTGTGGTTCTCCCGGTGGTCCTCCTGTCGCGGCGCCAAGAGTAAAGTTGAGAGATGGCAGGCATTTGGCTTACAAAGAACACGGCGTACCAAGAGAATTAGCAAAACACAAGATCATCTTCGTTCATGGCATTTCGTCTTGCAGACACGATGCGGTCATTGCAACTCAACTTTCTCCGGTACTGCTTGTTATGGATTATTACTTGTTTACTTCAATTGGGTTTTTTTTGTTATTCACCAAATTTCAAAAGGTGTGTGTTGGTGAAGTAATTAAACTTCCGAATTGCTCTGTTTAAATCATTTATTTCAGGAATTGATTGAGGAACTAGGGGTGTATATTGTGTCATTTGACAAACCAGGGTATGGAGAAAGTGATCCTGATCCAAAACAAACTGTGAAGAGTCTAGCTTTGGATATACAAGATTTGGCTGATAAGCTGGAGCTTGGATCCAAATTCTTTGTGGTTGGCAGATCTATGGGAGGCCAAACTGTTTGGGGTACTCTCAAATACATTCCGCACAGGTAATATAATACATATACTTACATTCCTCTCTGAAAAGAATTCAGTAAATGGCTTATGGACATAATCTAGCACACGCCTTATATACCACTATATAATGTTAGATAATAGATTGAACCAGGATTCCTAAAAACTTAAAATTCATATAGAAGTTTCAATCAAAATGTAAAGCAATCTTAGGGTGAAGTTGGAACAAATGTCTGAAGTTGGGGAATGTGTGAAGGGCTTCAGGCTAGCAGGAGCAGCATTACTCTGCCCTGTTGTGAACTATTGGTGGCCTGGGTTTCCTGCAAGTTTGTCGAAAGCAGCTTACTACCAACAGCTACCCCAGGATCAATGGGCGCTGCGGGTTGCTCACTATGCTCCATGGCTTGTCTACTGGTGGAACACCCAGAAATTATTTCCAGCATCTGCAGTTTTTGCTCGTAGGCCTGAAATTTTCTCACGTCGGGATAAGGAACTTCTGTCGAAATTTGCCGATCAGAGGAAAAAATACAAGGTGCCTGTTCTTTTCTTTCATATTTGGTATATGTTTTAACTTTCTGCTTTGCAAATAATCTACTAGAAAGTAGCATTTAAAACTGATGCCTCAACCTTCAAATAACTAGGAAGTGATGGAGTCCTATTAAAACTTACGTGTTGATGATGATCAACTTGTGATGTCTGTAGCTCAAACGGATTAGTTCTCTGATTATTTGCAGGCAGAGGTAACTCAGCAAGGGAGTGTATGAATCCATGCATCGAGCGATGATGATTGGATTTGGGCGATGGGAATTTGATCCCATGGAACTGCAGAATCCATTTCCAAACAAGGAAGGATCTGTTCACTTATGGCATGGAGATGAAGATGGTTTTGTGCCATTCATCCTGCAAAAGTACATTGCTAAAAGACTCCCGTGGATTGAGTTCCATGAGGTCCGCGGTGGTGGACACTATTTTTCGGATGCAGAGGGGATGGCTGAAGCTATCATAAGGACCCTGTTATATGGACGGAAGTAGCACAATACATATATACTTTCACTTATCTTTTTCTTTTCTCTTTCTTGAGGTACTTTATGAATCCTTATTTGGGTTTATATATTTAGAACATGCCTCAAAGTATTCTAGTTCAAGTGGCTGTTATCAGTCATGAAAACGATGGAATGAACAGAAGTATTGTTCTTGCATATTCTTACTGATTTTCTAAACAAACCCTGCGGATATATATATATGTAAGTGATTCATATACGGCATCTTTTTGTTTTGTGTAGACCATTAGGCCCAAATAATTAGACCGGTTGAACCAAATTATTGGGTTGATTTCTTGCAATCAGAGGCTAGCCCGGTACGAATCTGGCCCAGCCTAACTTTATACAGGTCTGTTCTCTAGCTGTAACATAAAGTAGTACGACCCAGACTAACTTAATATGTCATGACACGTACCTAATTTACACAACAAACAACACCTATAAAACTATACTCTCGTATGACATCTTGAAATCTTTAATAAATGGTTCACAATGACACAAACAAGCTCCTGAGTTTGAGAAAACTTACAACAATTATTGTTTATTCTGTGAAAGAAACTGTAAGTAAATAGAATCCTGAGGGATCAAGACTACAAGAAAAAGAAAAGAATTACAAACACAAGGTACAAGTAATGGAATTCAACATGTATTAGAGAGATCCACGATAGCTACCTTCAATGCTTTAAGAGATTATCTCAGCAGAACACTCTCGTACTTCGATAAATTTGGCCTGAGAAGGGCAACTTCTAACGAAAAGTAATGGTCTAGAACTATTTTGGGAGTCCGGTTTCCGGGTTTAAAAGGGCGTGATTTGAATCAGAAAGCAGCACAGGACCTCTCCCAGGTCTAGTACAGATGAAATAGCTAACATCGCCTTTGTATTTCTGGGCTGATATGCTATTATCCTTAGTTTCAGGAGGAGGTTGCAGAGCTTCTACATCCTTTATTCCTTCAAGCCCAGCTTCTCCCAATATTGATTTATCACCGAGAACATAACTGACCAAATATAAGCATAGGAAAAACAAAACATTAAAGGTATCACCAGAAACTCATCCTTCATCAACCAGCCATTTTGGCTTAACATCATAAAATAAAAATACCTGCTCAAATCAGTATCAGATGTTGGAGGGAAGTAGAAAAGCAGCCGTTGAAGCAATTGGGTAGCAACATTTCGATCTCGTGCAATTAAAACTGCATTCGGCCCAGCATCAAAAGTGTAAGCCACCTGTAAGATCTTTTATCATTAGTCATCTATTTTGAAGAATCACAACCAAGTAATTGAGGGCTGAGCAACAAACAATATGCTCATATATTTATATCAACACAAACTATAAATGTCTAAGCATGCGGAGAGTTGAGAAATTCATAATGATAGACTGCCCAAATGCAGCGCTCAACAAAGACCAGAAAGCTAGAGGAGAGATGATTGACTAGTTGTACCAATGCTGCCATCATATTACAAATGTGTCTCAAGCTTCAACAAGAAAATGGATTGCCATAGAAAAAATGAATGTGACAGATATTTCGGTCCTCAACAGTGACAGTAAAATTCAAAAATCAGTGAATATATCTTAAACTCATTAGCCCAAAAAACATTCTCCAAACAAGGAAAAATATGCAAACCTGTGGTGTTCCTTCAGATCGATTCCACTTTTCGACGATGCTGATTATCCTGGAATATAGTCACTATATCAACATCTAATCCAAGAGTTTGGTAGTTCAATCACATATATATGACAGAGAAAGGAGTTGCCTGTGGGATGTATTGTTCATGTAGAATATGGGAGGACAAGTATCCAAGCAGACAGCATGAAACTGATTACTATCAGCACAGGTCAACTGTGCAAAGGATGCAAAATCACAACTTTTGATAGCTTCTTCCATTTCTTGAATGCGTTTTGGTACAATTTCCTAACAATTTGGAAAGAGGCATGAGAAAGTAGTTGAAGCTAAATCCAACTTCACATAATCAAACATACCCGAAAGCTACAACTAGTCTTTCAAATAATTTTCCATGACTGAATCCAAAATTACTTCCAGGTGAAACTAAGAGAAGAGCAATTTAAATAAAGAAAACCAGTGAGTACCTTTGCTCTATGCTGCAAGAGTAAACTTGTTTCAACACTCTCGCGCATTCCTGAAGTGCTACTTGTTTCCTTCTGCCGTGAACTTACCTAGAACCAAAACAGTTCATTTGGATTACGAAACACAGTAAGGCTGAAGAAAAACCATAACATGAGAAATCTTTCTGAGGATTCTATAATGTAGTTATAATCCCTTGAAAAATGCAGCATTACTATTGAATCATTTTAGCATTTTCATTTTATGATTGGCTCCCAATAATATTTAAAGTTGTAAATCTAATGAATTTGCCGCATCACTATGTCCATGGCAGATGACAAAAGAAACCACTCATCACAGATCATGATCAACTCCCTTCTCAGGCTTATCCCTTGGCTTCTACTAATATTCACACAACAAACAATAGTTAAACTATTCATAAAACATATTCCTGGACATATTTTATCACCAAAAACAAAATGCCACCTAAATTTGGGAGCATAAGAAAAATAAGCCAGGATATCTAGATAAACTGCATATTGTCAAGAAAATGAAATCTTTAGTAACAAGCTCAATTAACCAATATACTAAGGATAAAGAAATATACTTTCCAGAGAAAATTCCAACACAAGACAGTCATTGCCCTGTAATGCATAAGCAGGGTCAATTTTCAAGTTCTTCCTATGATAGTAGATATCCGCACAAAAGATTTAACTGTAACCAACTTAAAGAGGTACTACAAGATCAAGAACAACTAGGAAAAAAACTTCCAGAAATGCCCAAGCTGTGGATATAAATGTAAATGTATTCGGAAAGGCAAAAGAAGATACATACCACAGCAATGATAATAACAAGATCATCCCAGTGTTTCTCATCTGCTAGCTGAACTGCAATGCTGTCACTTCCATTCTCATCCTATATGTGGCAGAAAATAAAGCACTAGAATCAGTCATTCAAAACGAACTTGTGATCACTTATCTAAATGTACAAAACGTGAAACTCACCTGTCCCATGATCCACTTGACAAATCCACCAAATAAACTGCGACAAGCACTTCCTGAACCTTGCCTACATAGTAAAATGTATACAATTCTATGAAATCTTTGATTGACTAAAATGAAATATCCAACCATACATGCAAAAGAAAAAAAAAGGAAAACAAATTATAGAAGCTCAAGATTGTATTAGCAAAACCACCAACTATATTCTGTACTCGCAAAAAACTTTAGCTGTAAGATAGCAATAAAGAGAATGAAGATCCATGCACTGTGCCATTAAACAAATGGGAACAAAAGCACAAAATATTTTCATTAGCAACTTGAAAATTAAAATTTTTAAGAAAAAATACACAACAACAACCATACCTAGCTATAGCAGAAAGCTTGCTTTGATCTTCTTTTACGTTCATCAGATTTGCTAGGGCAAATACTGCATTTAGAAAATTAAATTTTAAAATATTCCCTACTAGACATTTTTACACATGATAAGAAATTAAGAAAAAAGAAAGAACTCTGACAAATAGAAGATTTTCTCAACTCTTATGGTTGGATAGGAATCAACTTGTATGATATATGGAGTCTTGCGGTTTGAATGAGCAATCAAAATATGCAGACAAGGTTACCCTCTTTCTTCCTGTACGGGCATTTATGGCCAAGAACAATAACCCAGACTGGTATTTTGTTATACAGCCACAGGATCCACTGGAACCAAAACAAGAAAGCAACTTTAGTTGCTTCTCTCTAGAATTCTTAAGCTCCTCTGATCCAACCCAAGGATTCTCTTTTGCTAGATTTTCAGTATATCTTTTTTAACAATTTCATACTCTGTTGTATTTGGCTTCGGCTGGGGAATAATACATACTCCAAAGAGAGAATAAAGCATCTAGAATCATTACTAAAAGGGTGTTTGGATTACTAAAGAGAAAATGTACTTAAGCAGGAGGGTCTTTTTAGTTACTTAAAGCAAATAAGTTCTTATTTAAAAAATAAACAATCACACATTTAGGTAAAGTGCTTATTTTTTAAAAAAAAAAAATGCAGTTGTATTTTATAAAAATATTACTAAAAAAATATATATTTATCAGAAGTATATTATTGCTAGTATTTTTTATGTCTATTTTGTTCATTTTAAGAAGATATCAAGAAATTAATTAAGTTAATTAGTTAAAAAAATAAAAACCTAAATGCAAATACAGGAAGAAGGATGCTTAAAGCAGCTTATAAAGTACCAAATAAGCAATCTAAATATCCTCTAAATTAGAGGGTTTCTCCCGAGATCAAGCATTCTTTCTAACAAGCCCCTACTATTGGTCATCAAGATTGAAATCAAATAAACAAGCATGTGATTTGTTGCAAGATTTTGTGGAGAATAGACTTGTGACCAGACTCCAACCCAGGACCATTACAAGTGCATCTAGGAGAGATTCGATTTCTATGGTATGACTAGAACAAATTAATTACTTTCATGGAACTCAATTGGAAAATTTTAGTTTTTATATTTAATTCAAACATGAGGCACGAAATTTAATTCCAAATAAAATTTTACAAGACAAAAAAAATGATATTAATATATTATAAATATATTGCGAGAAGACAAGATAATTATAGAAAATGCTATATTACCAAGACAAGCAAAACCAGCAGCCGAAGAAGCCAACCCAGCTGCAGTTGGGAAGTTGTTATAAGAAGCAATGTGCACATGCAATTTCTTCCAGTCCTCTTTTACTATCTTGATTCCCTTCTCTTTATCCTCAACATCGCCAGCACGACTACGGATTTCCCGCAAACAATTTTGGTACCTACCTCCAGAAAGGGAAATTTCCTACACTAGCCAGGAAAAACAAACCACCAAAAAATTGAGTAAAATCCAAAATGATTATCGGAGAAGACATCTAATTACCATTTTAAGTCTAAATAAAAAAATAATCATCTAGAAAGCTAAATAGTGGACAAAGAGACACTTGACTGGATCACTCATATACGGACTAGCTCAAATTCATCATCTCTAAATTTCAAAAAAACGCACAGAGAAATATGAACTAGAAATTAAAAAGAAAAAACCAACTTCAATGGAGCATAAATCATCTTTTGAGCACTTCCTCAGCAATCCGAAGACAATATATAAAATCCAAAAAGAGAGGGGAAAAAGAAGTTAATACACACATGCACACGCTTTTAACCAAGGCTCTTTCTGCCTCAAAATTAAATAGTGAAATGAGCCAGATTGTCTCAGTACGCATTTAGGTGAACCGTACTTTATGATTTGAGCCTTAAAAGTGCTGTTAAATTAGTTGTCAACTAAAAACACTTTTATTCAAAAATTATTTAGTGTTTGATAGAAATAGATATAGAAAGTGTCTCACTTTAAAAAACAGAAGTTTGTGTTAACTGAAATTGATGTTTGAAATTTGAACTGTAACTTTTTAATAAAAACCAAAGCGATTTTCTAAAAGCTAAGCACTGTAACTTTTCGTTTTAAATCTATCAAAAACATATTTTAGTCTTGTCTTTTGTCAAAAAACACCTTACATTTTTTCCGTTTTGTTGCAAAAGCACTTTTGAAACTCAAAACCGCAGTTTTTCGGGCTCAATCTCTCATACTTATCAGAGTTACTACATGAGTATTCAAACGAGAAGGAAAATTCATAAATAAACAAAACAAACTCATCTAGCTTTGAGTTAAACCCGATCAAAGTTGGCATTTAGTAAGCTCCATTTGAAGATAATAGTTATCATAAATAAAGATCAAGCACCCAGAAAAAAGAACCAAAAAAAAAAAAAAACCAACCTTCCAATATCAAGAAAGAACATTAATATCTGATCCAAAAGCTTCTCCTCACTTTCCCAGATTCTCCAGTCAACCAAGCACTCAAATCAAAATCCAAAAAAGAAGAATTTACCTTGCCATTGAGCCACATTCGATCCTGGTCAAAGACAGGGCTGACAGCAACAGTGGTGGTGGTGCATAGATGATCGGGATCAAGCGTGACACTAATGCTATCATTGATGGGCAAGATTAGGGTTTCGTCTCTCTTCCCCCAGTACTTGATAACAGCTATATTGGTCGGCGTCTGTGCCGTGACCATCAGCACCCACTTGTCCGCCATTTCCACGAGACGACCTCCGGGAATCCGTTGATCACCTTGAGGATCTGAAATTTACTTGAAAATGAACCAGGAGACCAAAAAATTGATCTGAGTTTATTTATACATAAAGAGGAGCTTAGATGGAGTCTGTGCCTGAGAACATGGAGGATCTGAAGAGGTTGCGGTGGGTCCCACCTAACCTGTGTTTAAAAATTAGGCCTTTGACTGTTACGGGATTGGCCGGAACCAGGGAGGGAGAATATATCTTATTTAAATAATAATAATAATAATATTTTTTGTAAATTAAATTTTAAAAATATATGAATTTTTATTGAATTATTTGACTATATTTTAACAATATTAATTTAAAAAAAGATTTTGAATATTTTCAGCAAAATTATTTTATTTTAGAGAACTTAGAAGTTGAAATTTGTAATCTCCAACATGGAATTTAATATGATATATATGCACAACCTACAATATAATAAATGACTATACGTGTATGTGCATATATATATATATATATATATATATATTAATTATCCAATTTGTCTAAATAATATGATTATTTAATTAAATATTTTGATAATGAAGGATTAGGATATTACAGCATTAATTTTCCGAGAAAATGGTTTACGTTGTCTTAGATTAATCCAAATAAATTGTTATTTTATGAACTAATCCCACCTTTAATATTATTAACAAGGAATTATATATTTTATTTATTTATTTATTTATTTATACAGTTGAGAAATATAGATTTTTATATTACAGTATTATGATAGTACTTTAATATAAAAATATTATTTAATTAATAAAATATATAAATTTTTTACTTTATAATCACCCAATTTTTCAAAAAAAAAAAAAAAAAAACTAATTCTTTATTAATTTTTTTAGCATGTTTATATACTTATTAATTAAGTTTAATAAGTAATACACATATATCACTATGAAGTTTCATAATATATTTATATATATAACTTTCTTGCATGTTAAGTCTATTTAATATACTCTAATAAAAATTTGGGAAAATTTGCTTGTATAAAATAAACACCGCATATAATATTCAGAATTCACACGTGTGTGTATCGGCATATACATATACATATACATATACATATATATATAAGGTAGGAACTTCACTAAGTCAATGAGTCTATATTCGCATTAAGATTAAGAAGCACAGTTTTTCATCTATTTTATAGCTCCATAAGTTTACTGGTTCTGATTCTATAATTTACAACAAATACAATCAAACTGGTTCTATATGAATGCACATTTCAGCTCTTATCCCACTCCCAGCAAATGATCTGGTTCTGCATATATATATGTAACATGCTGAAATTTAATTAAACATATAAAATATATACTCAATTGGAAAGCTTTCTTAATCAGATGAGATTCTTCCAGTAAATTGCTATGTGTAATCCTTCTTTCTAATCCAGTGCTAACTCTTCTAGGTAGAATAAATAAGGTTTAGATCATTCATGGAGAGCAAACAGATACGCTAGTCACCGAGACTGCCATTCCGAAAATTAAATAACTCGAAAAGAGAAATGGTGTGATTTATGATTCTCATAAGAGCAGTCTAAGATGAATGAAAAACAAGAGAAAAAGAAATTGCAGGGTTATGGATATTACTACCAAAAAGCCCAAAGGAGCACTATACCAATTCTGGAAATGCTAGTAATCAATCCTCTTCGGCAATTTTGCCCTTCTCACTAACATAAATACCATCAAGGAACTTCCTAATATCCTTGTTCTTCACATGGCATTTCTGTTCAAAAGACAGGAAAAACCAATAGTCAAAATTAATGGAAACGAAATATCTTTGTTGGATGTCAAAAAAATCAAAAGACACGCACAAATTCACCTGATTAATGAGAGCTGCTGAACGTGAAACAAGTTCAATGTCATTTCCATCAAGGATAAGTTCATCCTTAACCTTGTCAGAGCGAAGGATGGTTACACCTTCAAGCATTTCCACTTTCCGAACCTGTTGTCACAGCATCATCTCTAGTTATGCTCTTAAGATTCAGTATATAATCATCGTCTTTTTACACTTCACATTAAATCCATATGATAATCAATATCAAAAGGCAACTCTATTATGATCATACTCAGTTTTACTTATCTTGGTAAATTAATTTAACTCATTTTCACTAGGATCAATCAATATGTGGGCAATATCTCCAGAGTATAAATGAAGCATCATCTCCAGTTATACTCTAAGATGCAGTATATAATCATCTTCTTCTTACACTTCACGTTAAACCCGTATAATAATCAGCATCAAAAGGCAATATATAATCATGTCTCCGCACAATTTATAACAAACTCTATTATGATCATACTCAGTTTTACTTATCTTTGTAAATTAATTTAACTCATTTTCGCTAGGATCAATCAATATGTGGGCTCTAAATGAAGCATCATCTCCAGTTATACTCTAAGATGCAGTGTATAATCATCTTCTTCTTACACTTCACGTTAAACCCATATAATAATCAACATCAAAAGGCAATATATAATCATGTCCCTTCACAATTTATATCAAGCTCTATATATAACTAAGATCAAAATTCACTCCCATCAACCAATATGTGGCTCTAAATGCAGCATCATTTCCAGTCATACTCTGAGATGCAGTACTTAATCATCTTTTCACACTTCACATTAAACCCATATAATAATCAATATCAAAAGGTAGTATATAATCATGTCTCTGAACAATTTATATGAAAATCTACTTAAACTAAGATCATAGTCAGTTTTGCTTATCTCAGTAAATTAATTTAACTCATTTTCGCTAGGATCATTCAATAAAATATGTGGCTTTAAACCCTCAATACACAAAAATTCAAACAGTTTCAAATCTCCAAAATGCAAGATACGCCTTTCAATGAGTTGTAAACAGTCAACAACTAAACCTAGAAAAGAAAGATACGGCACCTTTTTTTCTCCAAGAAAATTGCGGATCTCGATGGACTTGTTAGAGTTGGTAATGGAGGCATTAATAGGAAAATGAGCGTAGACAAATCGCATTTTGTAGCGGTATCCCTTGGTGACGCCAGTGATAAGGTTCTCGACGTGGCTGAGGGCGGTGCGGATGGCAGCACTGGTTTTCCTGGACCCGAACCATGCCTCGATCTTGAGCTTGCGCTTGCCGGTCGTCTCATCCTTGATCAGCTGGAAGTCGAGGTTCAGATGCTTGAAGTTGCGAGTGAGCTTTCCACGGGGACCCTCCACCTCTATCAGCTTGGCGTTCACTTTGATGGTGACCCCGTCAGGGATATCCATCGTCTCCGATGACAGGATGGTCTTCATTTCGACCTCTCTTCGCGCAAATCCAAGTAGTGCAGAGCCGTGGAGTCTTCTTCCTGGAAAGGAAGAAGAAGGGAAAGCGGAGAATCAGGGAGGGTTCTGGGTTTTCAACGGTGGCTGACGGCGAAGAGAGGGCTGCTGATTTATATCTAGCGGATTTTTTTTTTTAGGTTTAGTGAAAAAAGAGAAATTTACAAACACCACCCTGTATTTTAATGTTTATCTCAATTTTTACAACCTTATAAATATATTTGATCAATTTACTCCTTATAATTTTAATTTTAATCAGTTAGCACCATATATATACTTACAAATTTTGCAAAATTTAATACTAAAGAGTAGTAATTATCACAATAATTACATCAATTAAATTTTTTTTTTTTAAAGTAGAAATATGTATATATTAATTCCGAAAACCCCTTCTATCGATTTACTAATGCTTTAAAGATTGATAGGGTAATTAGGAATTACAGAAACTAACATGACAAATTGGTCTCAGAAACTTCAGTTAAATCCTACTTACACTAGATTAATTAGGTATTACAACTAAATTCAATTGATAAGTAGGGTGTTATCATGTATTTATAGTTTATAAGTACGAATAGAGTAATATAATACTTAAAGTAAGGAAATAGATCTGACTGATATAGTTGTCAATTATCCTTTGGATCATCTACCACATGTAGTATGCATTGTCATGTATGATCAAATGTTCTTTTCGTCTGAACAGTCATAACATACTGAAACCAAAATTCAAATATTAATCCGTTGAATCAAATATTATAAACCTCACACCACGGATCTATAATATATCTTTATTCAATTCCTATAGAATAATTATCACGTTACAGTTTTATTCAATCATCGAGCAGCGAGCCAAAATGATTTTGTAAAATGACTTGGAAGATTCAAGGAGAATAATTTTCTTACATTACCATAACATAGAGTGGAAAACCAAAATGAAAGGAAGTTAACAGATGAAACACATCTGGAAAAGTAGCAGAACTACAACATGGAAAACTCGTAAGCACCTTGGAGAAATAGAATCATCAAGGAGAGAGCAAACTAACCCATGAAGATTCCCAACCAAATATTAATAACCCAAGATTGGTGTGATGGAATATATGACCTAAGATTAATGAAAAACAAACGAAAAAGAATGGCAATGATATTTCTGTCACAAAAAACCTAAGGAGTACAATATCAGTTTCCGGCAAAAAAAAAAAAATAGTATATCAACCTCTTAAGCTCTTTTTGCCCTTCTCACTTATAACAGTTTAAGATTAAGGAAAGACAAATGAAAAAGAAATCGGAGCGATATTAATGTCACAAAAAACCTAAGATTACAATATCAGTTTCTGGAAAAAAAAAAAAAATAGGAAATTACTCCTCTTCAGCTATTTTGCCCCTCTCACTTACGTAGATACCATCGAGGAACTTCCTAATATCCTTGTTCTTGACATGGCATTTCTGTTGAAAACATGAGAAATTAGAGTTGTCAAATTAGAGATCAAATATTTGTTTATATGCTCAAAAATCAAATGCACGCACCTGGTTAATGAGGGCCGCTGACCGAGAAACGAGTTCAATGTCGTTCCCATCTAGGACAAGTTCATCCTTAACCTTATCAGACCGGACAATTGTTACACCTTCAAGCATATCCACTTTCCGCACCTGTTGTTACAATGTTATCTCCAGTTGTGCTCTTAACTGCAGTCTATATTCAACTACTTTTATATTTTGTATTAAACCTATATACAACTAACACCGGAAGGGGATATATAAGTATGTCTCTTTACAATTTATATCAAACTCATCTTATAGCTAAGATCAAGCCAGCTTTGATTATCCAAGGTTCTTTTTTTTAGATGTGTTTTCATTATCCAAATAGATTATTTTAGTTCCTATTTCTGTTCCTATTCCAAATAAATGAAACTTTCAGTCTTTCACTCAGATCAGTTAAACTATAGTTAAACAAATTCAAAAAGTTTAGAGAAGTCATTAATAAAACATCACTTAATTTAATTAAGAAATGATGCAAATTATATTACATTAGCAAATAACCGATCTTGTATCAGATTTCATGAAAAATAAGGATACCGCATTTCAAATTCTACCAAAACTAAAGCAATATTGAATATTTTGTTCTACTTTTACGTGGAATTTCAGTCTGTTCTTCTTTCATTGTGGTAGAATTTTCAGAATCTTCTAATTTAAACAAATTAAAAAAGTAAGATATGTAAATGAAATTCCCCAAAATTTCCAATATTTTTCGACATTAGAGTAGTTCGGACAAACCCAACAGTTAAAACCCCAGGAATCGAAACAATGTCAACACTTAAAGACTCTCAGACAGCTATGATAATCAAAGTTTTTCTTTTTTGAAGTACCATTTGATTATCCAAGTATACTAAGTTCCTATTCCTATTCCGAAAAATGAAACTTTCAGTCTTTCACTTCGGTCAGTTAAACTCTATCTTAAACAAATTCAGGATTCATTACTTAGTTCTCACATAAGAAGGAGACTGCATAAATTACATTACGTTAACAACAAATTGAGCTTATATCAAGTTTCATATAAAATTAGGATAATATACTTCAACAAGACTAACGCATTTTAAATATATTTCTCTACTTTCATGCGAAATTTCACTCATTTCAAGTAGAATTGTCAAAATTTACTAGCTGAACTAAATTAACCAAGTGCGAATATCTAAACAAATTCCACAAAATTTCTAAAATTATTCAAACATTGAATTAATTCAACCAAACCCAACAGTTAAAACCCAAGAACTCAAACAGTTTCAACAATTAACGACACAAATTTTGAATGAGTTTCAGCGATTAAATACCCAAAATTCCAAACAGTTAAAGAATTAAACACTAAAACGGTAAATACCGAAATTTCAAAATATAATACGCAGAAAAATAAACTTATAATGCTTCCCAATAAGTTCTAAATAAGCAACAAGTAAACCTAAAAAGGAAAGAGAACGCACCTTTTTCTCGCCAAGGAAATTACGGATCTCAATGGACTTGTTAGAGTTGGTAATGGAGGCGTTAATAGGAAAATGAGCGTAGACAAATCGCATCTTGTATCGGTATCCCTTGGTGACGCCAGTGATAAGATTCTCAACGTGGCTGAGGGCGGTGCGGATGGCAGCACTGGTTTTCCTGGACCCGAACCACGCCTCGATCTTGAGCTTGCGCTTGCCGGTGGCCTCATCCTTGATCAGCTGGAAGTCGAGGTTCAGATGCTTGAAGTTGCGAGTCAGCTTCCCACGGGGACCTTCCACCTGTATCAGCTTGGCATGCACTTTGATGGTGACCCCGTCAGGGATATCCATCGTCTCTGATGACTGGATGGTCTTCATTTCGAGATCTCTGCTAACGCCTGTATACGAATGCAGAGCGGCTCCGGCTTCAGTTTCAGAGGTATTGTAGGTAGAATCTGCACCACCCCAAACCCTAATCTCCTTTCCTTCTATATGCAAACTAGTAGAATCGGGCTGTAAGCCCAATGGATATGTATTTTTAAAAAGCAATTTATTTATTTTTTTCATCTTATTATTAGAAAATATTTAAGAAATTAAAATATTTATTATTATTTTTTATATATTTTCAATAATTTAAATTAAAACTCCAATATTTTTTTTTTTTTGGTATTTTCCCAAAAAAATTATTTTACCTTAATAAATTAAAAAAATGTCAAAAAATTATAACATGAAGCATATTAAATTATACTTAATTTTTATTAGAAGAATAGACCCAATTGATAAATATATTCATCAATAACTTTTATCTGTAATTATATTCAAAATTAGCATATGATTATATTCGTATATAACTTACTATTTTTTTATTTTCAATTTTTGTTTTTTGAATGGCGAATAATAACACAAGATCACTTATATTTTACATGCATTATAATTTCTTTATAATTTATGCCTCTACAAAATGTACCATGAATATTAAATAAAAAGATATATAACTTAATAATTAAATAAAAAAAAAAAATTTGTCCTCCAGAATTTTGGAAGAGAAGAAGAGGGAGCCAAAAATAGCAACAATTCTCCAACTACATCAGCCGCAGCCTACAGTTGTGGGTTAAGAAGTAGAAGCTAATCCTCATGAAATGCCTAGTTTGTCAATGGTTTGTACATAGATATAGATACCAAAGCCCTTTCTATAAATATGTTATACAATAATGCTCTCCCAACATGGGAATGCTAGTTACCAGAACTCAATTCATCATCAGAGTCTGTCTGCATATCATCTAATATGTCAGGAAGTGAAGCCAACGATGAGTCATCATCAGATACAGATGCCGATGCCTTAACTTCCTCAGCATTTCCACCAGCAGAAGTAACCTCGTTGCCTTTCTCTACCAAGATGGTCTTTCTTGATGCCACTGCATGACCTGTTTGATTTAAGTCCCCATTACTGGAAGCAACTTTGGCCGAAACAAGTTCCTGAAGTGGTACCGTGGATTCTTGAATTTGCTGGGTGTCAACCATAGTTTCATCTTCTTTACTTGTTTCTGCAACTGCATTGGCTGCTGCTGCCTCCTGCTCGGTTGTCTCTGGAACTATTGTGCCGGATGAACTGGGAACTGAAGGTTTTTCTGCATAATGAACTTCTATAGCTTCAGAAGACTCTGCCACTTCTGGGGTGTTCTTATCCTCACTACTCAAAGGAATACCTGGATCATTGCCATCTTCCAACCACCTATTGTACAGGTCGTCATCGTCTGAATCAGGATGGATATATCCTGTTCCTTTTATGCCACTTGGAAATCGGGTGGAATTTTGCTGATCACTAGAATATATATTGTCTGGGAATTTGTGGCTAACTACATAACCCGGCTTTTGATCTGCAGCAGGCAAATCATCAATTGGAAGTGCCCTGGGATGTATGAGGAGCTCCAAGGCTAAAAGAGCGTGTGCACAGAATTCAGCCAGCTTTGTTCCAGTCTCTTGTTTGCCTGCAGTAACCCATTTTCAGTGGTTTATAAGAAGAATGGGAAAAAAGTACATGAAAAATCTAAAGGGCAGGCTATTGAACAGCATCAGTTTGACAAAGATCATCCAATGCCAGATGTTACAGTTGTCTTTACTTGACAAGCTCGGGCCTAAAATTATGTTCAACTGGCTTTTCTTTCCTAATTAGCATCTGATATTTATACAACGCAAATGCTTCATAGTTCACTGTGAGGTTTGTTCAATGAATATCCTCTTAGATGATGCTTTAACCTGCCTAGTTTCCTAGATTAATCAAGAGAATCAGCAAAAGATCTCTATCTGAAGCTTACTAGAAGAAATTACAGAAATTGTTTAAGCTCATTATTAGTTTAACGGCACCTCCACTTGCAGCTGTTGTCCTCAAATTACAATGAAAAACAGAAGACACAAAACTAATTGGCAATAATGATTACCTCTACGGAAAAGCTCAAGAGATTGGGCTAAATATGCAGGTCGAACACGAGATGGGGAAAGAAGAGATGCCAGAAGTGCACGAAATGCTGCAAGCTGAAAATCAGCCCAAATTGCGGTTGATTCATATGGCAGGAATTGACTAATTTCCTGATTTGCATATCCTCCTTTGCAACAATTCATTGCTGTTTTTACCAGAAGAATATCAATGTCTGAACGCCAACCCTCAGATCTCAGAGAACCACCCTGCAAAAAGATTAATGCATTGCACTCGTTAGTTGATTTCAATTAAAAGTATCATTACCTTTTAACTAAAAGAAAAATGAGCACAAACAACCAAGGAATTGATGGAGTTCCATGAATCTGAGAATTAAGGGTGTAACCCAGGCCCATCCATAAATAAATGCAAATTTGTTCCTGTTAAGATTAATCCCATAACAGTTCAGGAAATTTTTTGTACATAGGCGGATATTCCTTTGGTGCCAATATTAGTATATATAACTTATACTTTTTATTTCCAAAAAAAAAAAATCCCATAACAGTTCAAGGATGATTTGTTTGCTTCCCTGACTATACAGTAGTAGTGAGCTAGGGCAAGAATATACAGGGTTTTAAGAGCTAAGCTCGTAAGTGAATAAAAGGGCCGGGCTAGGGTAAAAGTTGCACAAGCTATTTGCAGCATCACAAATATCATGACCCTGTTAAGACACTAGACCTTGGGAGCCCATTACATCCTTGGCCTGTCTGGCACATTGGCTCCATTTCATTTGTCTTAGAGCTAAACAACTAGCAGCTAACAAGTTTACATTAAATCAATCAGTAATCAACAATGTAACAGGATTTCCAGTTATATACAGAAGTGATGTCACAGCATGTGAATGGATGACCACTAGAAATCATTAAAACAGAACTTACAATCCATGATCATAGGAAGTAGTTGTTAGTTGACTCTAATATACTTCTCAACAACAAATGCTCAACTATACTGAGATATAGCATATGACGTTAGCATTCTTGTATATAAACTCAGTTGTTTGGCTAGTAATCCCCATAACCAAAATTCTTCTAACTAATAGCAACCATGAACTAATAACAACAGAATTGGTGGATCGATAAGTGAAAGGAAAAGGCAACCATAATTTCAGATAGAGAACAATTTCCATGAATTACCAAGTGAGATGAAAAATATCTTTATACACCTACAATCAACATACATACCACTGTAAGAACAGCTTCTAATGCCTCAAGCGCAGCTATCTTCACAGAAATTGGACTCGCTAGGTTGTTATTGGGTGCTTCTGATTCCAAAGCAGTTGTATCTAGTTGTGACTCAAGTCCAGAGTCATTACGATGCTTTCTTTTTCTCCGTCTAGACTGCACTAATGTTCCAGTAGAAGTCTTGGAACTTCCACCAGAGGGCTTCCCACAACTATCATCACTAATCAGCTTCAAATCTGCAGATGCATTGTCAATAACTTCCTGTGCAAGATGTATCGCCATTCCTGATCGGAAAGTGACTAAATTAGTAACACTAACAGATCAGGCTTCCGTGACATAAATCGAAGAAAGCAATGAAAAACGAAAAAATATACTCTCAACAGTCTCATATTTCAAGTATGCATGTAGAATAAGATCCCATAATATGTAATTGTACTTTTCTCTTTCATTTTTTGACAGGGAATCTCACAAATATTATTCCAGGATGTATTTCCAACTTCCAACTGCATTTTGGGTCCTATGTTGGACAAACAAGATAATATCTGACACATTGAAGAATAAACAGAAGACATAATAGCCTCACAACAAGCCAAACATAACTTTGGCAGGAAGAACTCCATATTGCAATTTTAATATTGTATCATGAAGATATTATTGCCGAAGTTTGGCAGAAAGAACTCCATAGTGCAACATGCCAAAGAATTTAAAAAAGAAATGAAAATGCCAAAGGATATTCTCAATGGTCTATTCAATCAAGAGAAACAACAACAATAGATACAAAGGCATGCATACAAGCTTGAAGATAATTGCTTGCCAGATATTTTCAAAAGTTCAAAAAAGAAAAAATAAGAGATTCTAAGAACTACCAACGCCCGTGGATATCAGCAACATCCTCGTGATCGAGTAGACCCTTATCCTCAACTCTGGAAGTGCACATTTCCTGAAGTACCTTGTAATGAGTCTTACTATACATGCAGCATACGGAAGAAGCTGACTGCAAAAAGAACATAAATGAGTGGAAGACTGGATGTGATAAGACAAGAGAACAGAAATGACATACAATCAAGAAAACACAGGCACACAGTTGGAATTAGATATTAAAACTGGGACCAATTTCAAATATATTGTCTTAGCACACCTATATAAAATACAGTTAACTGTATTTCTTACTATTAAGGTTGGTCTTCATATACCCTAGACCTTAAGGGCTTTGCCTTTATATTACTGAAACCTATACCAAACCTATATTTTCATGTTGTTACCCCTTCCCTCCTAGAGTTAAAGCCTCGGTATTTAACTTTCGAACTTAGTTCAAGCTTATCTCCAAATTCATTCTTGTATCACTGCCCTCACCATGTGAGGCTTTATGAAATCAATTGTGTGAAACTTCATGCCCACTTTGTTCACCTTGAATTTCAGATACATTTTATGACTTATAAGTTGCACCTGTCATGCTTCAGAGAGTCTAACTAAAAAATGTTGAATTGGATTGCAGGTAAATTATCCATAACAATTGACAGGTGAATTGAAGTCCGATTGGCACTACAAATGAAAAAGTCTCTGAAAAAACAGTTTCCATTTAAATTAATATGAGGAAGAAAAGAAAAAAAAAATAGTCTACCTACGGATACTTTTTATGATTGCACTTAGGAGCTCCAAGCTGCATAAGTGCAAAACTGGAAGTTCTGAACAAATAAACTCTTGTTGCGTGGAGGTCATGAAGGGAAACATAGTGCGAGGCAAAGAGCCATCCACCATCAGTACTCTCTCAACAAGTGCTAACAATGATTGAATGGGAACAGTTACCTACCAGTCAAAACATAAGATACTTTTAGAAGAATAAGAGACAAAATATATAAAGGATTCTGGCTTCCTCTTCCAACAGAAGAAGTATTTTCATGGCTTGTATAATACAACAATACCTGAACAGGGTAAGGGCTCGTAAGCATTGTACAACAGCAGAACATGAGGATAGAGACCCTTGATATGACCAATCGCTCCGGCCTCAGTGTGGCATCAACTGAAGCTCCAGTTTGACCTCCTAAGGAAGGTGGTGGATCCTTACCAGGTGGAACCAATAATCTAATCGCCTCATTGCGTTTGTTCTCTGCAAGACATGTATTAATTGTATCATTTTTAGCCCTTGGATTAGCAAAGTGAATAGCATAGATAGTGCTAACAAATACCTTCTTCTAGACCTTGAAATAAATCATTCAAGTGTGAATTTATAGATAATAAAACCTTCTGTATCATTAAGGACCAGCTTTCTTCATCTCCCCTTAATCTAGGGAGCAATGCCAGACAATGAGCAAGTTTCTGAAATAGAACAAAAACATGATGTTTATAATGCCAGTTTTTGTTCCTGACGTAGCTTGCTTGTAGAGCTAACCACCATACTGATTCAGAAAAGAAACTCATTACCTTTAAAATATCATCACTGCATTTTGCAGATAAAATCTTTGAAGCAATAGCAGTTTCAATCTGCAATGACATCAGTAAAAGCGTTAACTATCAAATTAAGTTGAGGTTAATCTTTGCCAGGCATCAATCAAACATCGGGTACCAATATCATAAAAGATATATCTCTCAACCAATATTATTGGCTCTCAGGTATTATACTTTGCTAAAACCTGCTACTGCATTAATATGTTACTGCTAAATTTAGTTTTCTACTTACGTAAGATCCTTTGATAAACAACAGTAATAACACGTCTAGTTTGGAATAGCTTTCACATCATGGTTATTAGCATGTATGTCTATGATGTAACCCGTGTTATATCATATTGTATCAGTTGCAAATTTCAAAAATGTAATATCTGAACACCACAAGGTAATAATTTTTTTGAAATAAAAGTGTAAGTGTATTAAGTGTTGGCGCCAAGGGAGCGCCATCCATGTACAAAAGATTTAGATGTCAATTAGTGTATCTGCAATAGATGTAAAACCTTCAATGCTATCAAGATTATGTCCTAACGTAATAGAACCAAAAAAATGAAACTATTTATCCTTGATAGAGACAAAATCGTTTTCCTTCCCCTCAAAAGCTCTAGAGTTCCAACACCACAAGGTAATAATACACGTCTTTCAAAGTACACTGATTTTATTGACAGCAATTATACGACTCTTTTAGTAACCTGCAACACAAGCAACAGACAGGCCAACTGAACCTTCCGAACCTCAATTATTCAACCCCCCAAATTGGGGGATTAAGATAGTTTCACATTTCCCTTAACATTATGTTGCTATTTAATTATCGATTTTGCCATAATTTATGACATTCTCTTTATGATATAGAAAGTTATTTTTATCACACCCAGCAAATTCTCAGTCTTACATTTACCTTCAACAAGGATTGAAAACTTCATTTTACCTTCTTTATCATAATTAGCTCTTAAACAAAGATTGACTACAATCTTTACTCTACTCTTTTCTACTTTCTTTTCCCTTACTTAAAGAATTCCTATTTTACTTCTTTCCTTAAACTTCCAAGTATTTTCTTTTGTACACAAGTTATAACTATGCCATATTATTATGCAAAAATATTTCCACCAATAGAGGAAGCCCCAATTTTGATGAGAAAATAAGAAGCTTACATTGTCATAATAACGATGAAGAGAAGCTGGAAATAAAGTAATAATCCTACATAACAGATGAATTGCTCCTTCCTGCACATCCAGCAGAGAAACAAATTAACCTTGGAAAGAAAAGAATTCTTCCATTCAATCCTTTTTCATGACCTAGTGAAGCTTGGTGTTTAAGGGAATCAGTCTTCATATGTGAGTTAGTCAGCATGCAAAGAGAGAGAGAGGATGAAAATGACACTACTGAATGCTGTCACTGGTTTCGTCACAGATATCCTGCTTTAAATGACTGGATGATCCTTTTTACACCACATTGAGCATTAAGTAACATAACTGAAGTATATCTCATCAATTGATACATCTTATATTTCGTTATCAAAAGTTCACAAAATTAACTATTTAAAAAAAATGAGAATTATCATGGTCAGATCCTGAAAATTTCCTTGATGTGGTCTTGATCACCAAAGATGATACAACTAAATTATCGAAACAAAAGAAACAAATCTATTAAAAAGTAGAATATTTGACTATGGCGTGAGGAGGGGGAAAGCAAGCCTACGATCTCCATCGAGATTTATCTCAAAAACAAAAAAAAAACGATCTCCATTGAGATACCACTTACCCATACAGCTTCTGAAGTATCCTCATTCAACAGTTTCAAAATGGGCTGAACGAGCTTCCCAGCGAGAGAAGATGAGTCTTTCTTTATATTTGGAAAATTCCCCAATCTACATCAGGAAAGAAAGTCACTGATATTATTATCATTATGTTATAGTTGACGTTTCATAGCTGATATAAGCATTGGCTACAATCTCAAATTGAAACTACATCAATAACTTTTCAGCACAAAACAAAATAAAAGCCATTACTGCCATCAAAGCCACTTACCAGTACTTATCAATAGAAAATTTAACTCAAAAAACTATTCACCATGGACTTTTTTTGGGTAGATAATATAGATTTTTAGCAAGCAACTTGGAGGATGCATGCACATATGGTCCCACACCCATGTCCTATCTCTTGCAAATTATACATGCCTTTTAACCTAGAAGTTAGCACCATTATACTTTAACAAAACCAAGCAATGAGGCATCGATGCCAACAAAGCCATAGCAGCAGTTGAGAAGATGCCTTTAACTGAAAAAGCAATGGCCTAACACTAATCCCCCATGCCATGGGGATGAGGAAAAAGATAAGTTCCTCACACTCATCCCCAATGCCATATTCTGGTCCATCTGAAAAGAAAGAAACAGCAGAGTGCTTGGGGATGTTCGATCTAACTTGGCTACATTAAGGCCATTGGCTTAAAACCTTATGTATTTTGCTAAAAAGTGCCGCACTCTTTTGGGGAGATCTTGGGTATATATCATTGACATCTTGACCAACTCACTTGTGTAAATTTTGTTTATGGTGATTAACATGGGTGGCACCCTCTTGGGGCCTTTGTTTACTATGTGTTTCGTTTTTTCTCAAAAACAAAAAAAACAAATGGCTGCCAAATTTAGGATATCGCACAAAGTGATGCAACAAAAAAACATAGTAAAACAACATTAGCTAAAGAATAAAAGCAAAGTTTTTAAACGTCAAAACTATCCTCCTCCGTTTACAAGTTGAAATCTTTGGTTTGCTGAATCTTTATTACGGCACAATATTGACAATGGAAAACTTGAGGAAGAGAGGAGAGATCATTGTTAATGTGTGTCCTACGTGCCTTCGGGGAATGAATTCCCCCAACCATTTTCTTCTTTGGTGTTTAGAGGCGAGAACGTAGCAATTGCATTAGATCTTCCTAATTTCTCTTGTGGTGTCTTCATGTCAGTAGCATTGTTGTTATGAGCTTGGTTGGGGATTAGACCATGTAAACTGAGAAAAGTTCTCATTTCTCATTCCTATGTTCATCTTTTGGGTCATGTAGAAAGAAAGAAACAGGAGAGTTTTTAGAGAACTTGATTTTCTTGTGACAAAATTAGATACGTTTTCTCCTATACCCGAGTGTTCTCTGTCTTCAGGAGATCCTATTCTTCACAGAGACGATTTTGGATAACATCAGATACTTGGTTTTTAATATCTTCTAATCCCTTGGAGATGGGTGGTACCCGTGCTTGTTAATATATATTTTCCCTTTTATATCAAAAAAGAGATAAATATTGATTCCCATCCATAATAAG